CTGCGGGCCCCAGAATGCAGCTGCATTGTTCGCGGCTAGACGACGATACACGCGCGAGCAACACCCTTACGAATTATGACTCGATCAATTCTGCTGTGATTCCCGCGAGTCTCGACTAACTTTCGCTACGTTCTGTCAATCAAAAACTGGTAAACCTTGGCATCGATAATATCGCGATTGCGCGGCTCGGAAGTGGAAGCAATCGGACGGCCGGTGGAATTTTACTCGCGTGCCTGCAAAAAATATTTGCGTACCGTGTTAGCTTCGAACGTGTGATCGGCAAATGAGAGGAACTGGTCAGTCGTTCACGCGACTTTCATATTGTGGCGTTTCTTGTTCGAAGAGAAGAAAAGAAGACTTCGCAAAATCACTGTGTCATTCATACAGTGTCGACTGTTTGACTTGTTGGGTGTTCAAAAGTGTAAATTCAACATGACAGCAGTAGTACCAGTCTTGTCTAATCGCGATACGATGTATTTCAGTTGATCAATGAGATTGCTTTTATTCAACGAAAATTTTACTTTCGACGAAAACTTTCGGGATTCGAACCGTCCGCGAGTTTTGTACGAATTGACTGATTCGTCTTGTTAGCCTGGCTAACCGTTTCAGACGTCTCTAGAACGCATGTTGAAAGTGTCTTCGATAATATTGAAAAACTATCTTGACGCAGGCGGGTGCTTCTGAGTCCTAGCGAACATATCTTCAAAAGGAAATTGTCAAAGGAACGTTCAAAAAGAAATACGGACTAGACCATGACTCCACGCAATTGTTCGCTCTACCGAACAACTGATGGTGGTAGCAGTACACCTGTAAAGTTTGTCCCATGTTGTTTGTTTCCAGCTATTTCCCCCCGAAAATCCACTCGACGAAACTAGCAGTGTTCTTTCGTTTCCGACGAATCGTCGATGTTTTTGCATGTTGTGCATGAGCCCTTAAAGACTGATGTGATCGCAACTGCAGGCAGGAAGCTTCCGCGACTTACAGGGGAATTGCCACGAATTGCAAATCGATCGGGGCCGGATATATGCTACGCGCGGACCATCTGCTGTCTCTGACACTGTGCTTCTCGATTAATCTTCGCCTGATTTTGATGCATTGCGCCGGAATTATGTATGCAGCTGCACGTACATACGTGTATTCCCGGTACAAGTTAATTGGCCACGCGGGATGCCCGGTTATAAAAAGCACGCGACGGGTCGATTATGTCGCGATGAAAACGTGAATTGATCGCGTGGCTGTAACAGTCGTACAGTCCAGCTTGACTAAATAGGTATCCAATAATTAGATTTCATGTTTATGTAACTGTAACTGCACTGAACACAGGTGTTTCTGCCTGAATCGCGTTGCGATGAATCCCACCTTGATATTACTTTCGATATTATTCGAGGGTAAATA